TTAATTCCTCGGCCCCCCGCCCTTCTCCCCGTTGCCGGCTTGATCATTCGCCCCCGATCACCGCTACCAGGCCTGATCGGCACGGCCTTCTTCTGGACCTCGCCCATTGTCCGCCCTTCCTCCTCGTTCTCCCCCTCCCCTCCCCTCCCCCCTCCCCTCCCCTCCCCTCCCCCCTCCCCTCCCGCCTTACTCTTCTCCTTCCCCTTCCCCTTTTGCTCCCCATCTTCTCTGCCGGTCGGCGTCACTCACCCTTCCCTTTCCTGTTCAACGGTGCTTCACTCTCAGCTCGCAGCACACATTGGACTATGTCTACGGCCCGGATGCGACGACGCGTGACGTGTTTGAGCGATCGCTTTATCCGACAGTGGCCAACTTTGTTGAGGGCGTCAACGTGGCCATCCTGGCGCTCGGCGCGTCGGGATCGGGCCGCTCGCACACCCTTGCCGGCCCGCGTGATGGGTCGGAGAAGGGTGCCGTGGCGCTGGTCATCGACGCCGCCTTTGACTTGCTCCGCGAGAAGGAGCGCAAGGTGAACAAAGGCTCGAAGAAGAGCGCATCAGCGCGGCCGTACCGGTACCGGGTCCGCGGGCGGTATCTCGAGGTGTACAACGAAGAGGTCAACGATCTGCTTGACCCGGGCAACGCGTCGCTGGAGATTGCGCTGTCCGAGGAGCGTGGTTGGCACGTGTCGGGCCTCTCTGGGAGGTGGGTGGATGGGCCTGATGACCTGGCAGACCTCTACGATGAGGGTCGGGCGTCACGAGTCAACATGGAGACCGATGTGGGGCCGGCAGCGCTCCGCGCCACAGGCATCTTCACCATCGAGCTGACTCAAAGCCTAGTTCTTGATGGCGAGGCGGTGGAACTGCTGTCAACGTTCCACGTGGTCGAGCTTCCGGCGGCCGAGAAGCTGAGTGAGGATCCTGCAGCGCTGCGTGTCCGCGAGGGCCCGACGCTCAACCGGGCGCTGCTCTCGTTTGCGCGGCTCGCCACCTCGCTTGCTGATGAGGGCACCCGCGACTTTGCCAACTACTCCGAGTCCAAGGCGACGCAGCTGATGTACGACGTGCTCGGCGGCAACTGCCTCACGCTTGTTATCGCCACTCTGGCGACGACAGACTACACCCGGGCGGCGACGACGCTTTCGTGGGCCGACACGCTCTCATCGGTTGAAAACTATCCGGTTGTTAACGACGCCCGCGTCCGTACCCTCCTCCGGCGGGCGCGGCTTGAGTACCTGCGTGCGCGCGACGGCGTGAGCGGTGGCGGTGGCGCGCCCGGCGCCATGCCCAGTAGCGGCGGCGACGGCGACTCGGGCTCGGTGACCGAGAAGCACCTTATGAAGATCCATCAGCTGGAAGGCCGAATCATCAAGGACAATCTCGAGAAGATCAAGCTGCGTGAGGACAAGGACAAGATCCTGACCAAGCTCACTGAACTTAAGGGCCAGTACGAGAAACTCGTTGAGTCCAAGGCCTCGATCCAGGCCGAGCTCATTTCGTCCGAGGAGGAGCGGCTGCGTGTGGCCAAAGCGCTCATCGACTTGCAGATCGAGAACAACTCACTGGAGGAGGACGGTGAGACCAAGAACTTTGAGCTGGTCAACAAGGTGCTTTCGCTCGAGAACGACCTCATGGAGGCCGAGATGCGCCACCAGACACAGGAGCAGCTCATCGCGGACATGCGCGACGCGCTCGAGTCGGCCGGCGACGAGGCTCGCGAGCTGCAGGTCGAGTACGTGGCGCTCAAGACCAACTTTATGAACGCCAAGGCAGCCCACGCCGCCGAGACCGCCAAGAACCAGGAGCTCGGCCTCGAGCTGCTCAACCTGGTCAATGCCAAGAGATCGCTCGAGTCGGACAAGACGAGCCTCGAGAAGCGAGTCGCCGAGCTCCTCAACATGCAGGGCGACGCTGACGCCATGCTCCAGGCGCAAAAAGACGAGCGCAACCGGATCGAGGCCGAGGTCCGCGACCTCCGCGAGCAGTCGGCCGTCCTCAAGGCCGAGCTCCTCAAGCAGCAGGTTGCGCTCGAGCAAGAGGTTCTCGATCTCGAGTCGCAAAAGGTCGGCGTCCAGCGCAAGATGGTCGAGGTGGAAAAGTCCAAGGCTGACGACGTGGCCTCGCTCAAGCGCCAGTTCGAGGCGTCCAAGAAGAAGCATGCCGCAGACGTGGCCCGGCTGGAGGAGCAGAACCATTTGCTCAACCGTGACCTCAACCGCGCCAATCGTGCCGCCCGCGACGCCGAGGAGCAGCTCGCGCGCGCCAAGCACGAGACCAAAAAGGTCGAGTACGAGCTCAACGCAAAGGAGGCCGAGCTTGCCAAGGCCCAGGACAAGTACCGCAACAAGCTCCGCGCGTACATGTCGGAAATTTCCAGCCTCTCGCGGACCATGGGAAAGGCCGATGATCTTGCGGCGGCGAAGACCTCGCACCGCTCGCACAAGTCACGCTCGCACAAGTCGCGCCACGACCGCAAGTCTCGCCACCGCCGCTCGCGCTCGCGCGACTCGGACTCTGACTCGGGCGACGACGTCAACTCGGATCGCGCCGCCGCCCTCGCCAACGCCAATCTCCACGCCCAGCAAAACCTCGACGCGCTCGTCCGCGAGCTCACTGAGTCGTACGCCGAGAAAGAGGCCGAGCTCAGGGCCGCCGTCGATCGCCTTCGCTCGCGCAACCGCGAGCTTGTTGCCCGCCAGTCACTTGTCCTCTCGGCGTACGCCAAGCTCCGTGGCCAGCTCGAAGATGAGGGTGTCAAGGCCGTCGCAGCGCCGTCAATCACGGAGCTCGAGGACTCGGTTGGCGCAACCGACCTTAAGACTGAAGTCGAGCGTGATCTGGAGATCGCGCTCGCCGCCGCCGAGGCCAAGGCCGCCAACGCCGAGGACGCGCTTGCTCGCCAGGCCGAGTCGAACCTCAGCGCGCTCGAGAAGCACCAGCAGACCGTGCTCGAGCTGCAGGCCCGCAACGCTGCCGTTGCTAACGAGCTTGAGGCGCTCCGCATCTTCAAGTCGACCGTCGAGGCCTCGGGTGGCTCGGGCCTGGCCCTTGAAGACGTCCACGACGCGCTACGCTCCCAAATTGAGTCGCTGCAAACCACAGTGACCGCGTCGGAGAAGGAGGAGCTTGTCGCTCTTCGCCGCGAGGTCGAGGAGCTCCGCTCCGCCGCGCGGCTCGCCTCGGCCCGCGCCACCGAGCACATGACCGTCATCCAGCAGTCTACCGGTGGAGACTTTGAAGAGCTCCGCCGTGCTCTCAAGGACTTTATCCTCAAGACGCAGTCGCGCCTCGAGACCGAGCGCTCGCGCCTCCTCGCCCGCGCCACCATGGCCGAGGAGCAGCTCTCCCAGCTCCAGCTCCACATGAGCCGCCAGCGCTCCGTGCACGTCACTCAAGCCCACGTCACGCCGCAGCCTCGCCATCACGTCCCAACTCGCGACTGGACATGATGATGGTGATGCTGCTGATGATGATCCCGCTTGCCACGACCATGGTTTGCCTGATAACAGTGTGGTGTGTCGTATCATCGTGTGCGATGGGATAGTGAGGACTGAAGACGTGTGTGTGTGTCTGTGTGTGTACGAGTGTGTGTGCGAGTGTGTGTGTGTGTGTGCAAGCGAGTGCTGTTGCGTGTGTGTATGGCTCCACCCGCTGCGACTTCACCTCGACTTCCACAGTTCCCCCCCCCCCCCCCTCCTATCTACCCCCACCCACCTCACCCCCACCGGCCACCGACACATGGGATGCGGGTCTTCCAAGCCACCACCGGGCCCACTTCCTCCCACGCCCCGCTCGGCCAGGTCGAGCGAGGAAGGAGTCAGAGGCCGAGGCCGAGGTGGAGGCGGCGACTCAGGTGAGGGGCGAGGCAGTCTGGCGGGAGACGACGACGATGAGCTGTGCTCGTCAGCCGGGGCGGCGGATGACGGAATGCGGCAGTCAGAGGAGAGGGCTGGCAGAAGTGGCAGCAGCGGAGACGCTGGCGATGACGGCGACGGCGATGGCGACGAGGATGAGTCGAGGTGGCTGGCACCCACGCCGTCGGAGCGATCGGTCAAGTCGCTGCCGGGCGGATCGCACGGCATTGCGGTGCGGGAGACAGCCATGGGCGAGGTCCAGATCCAGTTCCGGGATGCTGTGATGGATGAGGATGCGCGCACACGAGAGCTGCGGATGGCGGGTCGCCGGGCCTACGCTCAGGGCGATGTGGCCGTCGCGCAGCAAGCGTACGATGCGCTGGTCGACTACCTCGCGCCAGACCGCGAGTTTGAAGCCACCTTTGTCTTGGCCGTCTTCAACTGGATGGCCGGAGAGGACGAGCGCGTGGTGCTCGAGGGCTTAGAGGCGAGCATACGCTGCGATCCGTCGCACCCGGCGCCGTACCTGCTCGCGCTAGCAGTCCACGCCAAGTCCAAGGCATCGCCCGAGGCCGTGCCGCCGCTGGCGGAGGCGCTGCTGCGTGCAGCGATGCAGTACAAGTTCTCGCCGCTCAAAGGCATCAAGCGGGCGCTGTGGGCGTATGTGGAGATGGGGCGGTTTACAGATGCTCGCGCGCTCATCGAGGTTGCGGTCGAGCTCTATCCGGACGAGGCCAGCAAGTATCAGGTCTCGCTCATGCACATCGACATGCAGGAAAAACAGGCTCACGACGATTGCTCGTCTGATGCCGGCAGCGAGTCTGCGTCGCGGCACTCACCGCAGCAGTCGGCGAGGAGCGCGGGGCCGTCAGCTGAGGCGGCAGCAGCACGTGCGGTCGAAGAGGCAGCCGTGGCGGCCGGCGATGCAGCCGTGGCGGCCGCAGCGGCCAATGCCGAGGCGGAAGCCGACGCGCTGGACAAGGCGCGGAGCATCCATGCGCTCATCGAGGCCGAGGGCCTTGGCGACGACGGGCTGAGCGCCGAGGAGGAGATCGAGGCATCTGAGGCGCTTGGCGCGCTGGCTGCGCATGCTCCTGCCGATGCTTTGGCGCCACTAGGTCGGTTGGCGGCGGCGTATCCACGATCTGCCGGCCTGTATCGGCTGCTGGGCACTGCGTACACCGAGATGGGTGATGTGGAGGCTGGGCGCGAGCGACTCGAATACGCAGACAAGCTCGCTCGGGGCACCGACGGAAAGGTTGTCAACGAGCTGCTGGTGAATCTGCGGGCATCTTCGGCGGCCGACGCAGCGCCGCGTGTCGTCGCCCTACTGCGACGCGAGGTTCTGAATCGGCGAATGACGCCGCATGCGGGATCGCTGGCGCGGTTTGTGCTTGACGACGAGCCTGCGTTGGTTGCCCCGACGGTGAACGCCGAATCCGCTCTAGCGGTGGTCGATGGTGCGCTGGAGGTCGAGACTGTAGTTGGGAGCGCTGATCTGGAGCTGCTCCGTGAACGGGTGGTGGCGGCGCATGTGGGACGCGAGGTGGCGGCGGCGCACGCTGCACGTACTGCCGGCAAGCCGCAGGCCGCACTCGGCCACCTGCGGCGCGGACTGGAGATCGGCGGCGACGACGTGGGCATCCTCGTCCTCTCTCGCAGACCGCTCTGAGCATTGATGCCACCGTGGAGGCGCACGTAGCGGCGGCACAGGCGCACGCAGCAGCACCGTTTGAGCCCGAGCCCGTCATCGCGCTCCTCGACGTGCTGGAGACGGTGTGGCTGGCACGGGTCCACGGCGACGTCGTTGATGCAGAGCTGCCGCTGCATCCCGAGACAGAAGCGGTGGAGGTAATAGTGGCACACGCGCGGAAGCTGAGTGGCACAGACTCGGTCCTCGTCGTGGCCCAGACCGGCGAGTGGGCGTTTGTGGCGGCGCGAGCGGCTGCGGCGCTGGAGCGGCTGGCGAAGCGGGCGCTCAAGACCGAGCTCGAAGAGTGGGCGCGGCTGGTAGAGGGCGTGACGATTGGCATTGGGCTGGCGAGCGGGCAGGACGCGTACATGGACGGCAAGTTCGAGGAGGCGCTACAGGCATTCGGCACCATCCTGAGCAAGGCTCCGCGACACGCAAAGGCTTCGTTCTGGTCTGCGGTGGTGGCTCAGCAGATGGGCTCGTCGGCGGCGGCCGATGCACACTACGCGCGGCTATGCGAGGTCTCGGGCGGCCCGGTGTACGAGGCGCTGCTGGAGGCCGTGGCCGACTCGATGACCAAGGAGGCGTACATGCGTGTCTCGCGCAACCTCCGCAAGCTCCACGATCGGCACCACCTGACGGCAATGATGCAGACAGAGTCGCCGTTCAAAGGCTCGCGCGAGGCCAAGGAGCTGCAGCGTGTGCGGCGCGGGGTCGGCCGAGCGGTTGTCGATCGAGTCCTGGACGATGGCCAGACGCGGTTTTACTGAGCCCTCTACGACTCGGCGAGGCTCCAGTTGAGGTCGAGGCCGTCGGGCACGGCGTGGGCCTGCAGTGCGTCGACGAGCTCTGCGGGGTCGGAGCGGAAGATGACCAGCTCTGCAAAGTCCTCCGAGATAAAGCCGTGGGTGATGGCCCGATCGATCATGGCCTTGAGTGGGTCGTAGTAGCCCTCGCCCGAGCCGTCGTCGAGCGGAATGTTGAGGACGCCGATGGGCTTCTTCTGGATGCCGAGCTGGACCCAGGTTGAGATCTCCAGCAGCTCCTCGAGGGTGCCAAAGCCGCCGGGCAGGGCGATGAACCCGTCTGCACGTGCCGCCATGGTTGTCTTCCGCTCGTGCATGGTGTCGACCACGATCGACTCGCCGATCGTGGCGCCCGAGACCTCACGCGGAGCCAGCGCCCGCGGAATGACGCCAACCACCTTGCCGCCCTCCGAGTCGATGGTCTTGGCCAGCTCGCCCATCAGTCCCTGCAACGCCGGCCAGCCAGCCAGTCAGCTCGAGTGAGTCGCACATCAGGGGTCATCGGCAAGGCAAGCCCAAGCTCATCGCAAGCAGACCGCCTCACGAAATCTGGCCAGTCCGAGTTGCCGCCATCGGTCATCATGCCCCCCCCCCCCAACCCCCATCCCAACCCCCAACCCCCTTCCGTACCACCGATCCGCCGCCATAGACCAGACCGATGTTGCGCCCGGCGAGGACGCGGCCGAGCTCAGCGGCAGCGGCCATGAAGACCGGCGACTTGCCCGGAGACGAGCCACAGTAAACGCAGATGGACGAAAGTCTGTACCCAAGCACGTGAGTGTATGTACCCTAACCCCTCCTCTTCTCATCCCTATACCATTTCGCATGCGTCCGTACTGGCTCCTGCTCGCTGTGGTGCTCGACATGGTGTGGATCAATAGCTGTCGAGTGAGCTGTGCCAGCCATCGGCTGGCCCTCCTCCCCCCCCTTGCTCCTTCCTGCAGCCGGCCATCAGGGCTATTCCTTGAACGCACACGGTTCACTTTCGTAAACACAATCTCTCTGGCTTTCCCTCCTCCGCACGCTCACCCAGCTGAGCTCGCGCCGCTCATCGTCGATCGACGAGCCGTGCAACGACGCCCGCGCCTGCCCATGCCCCCCAGGTCGGCGTCTATGTCTCGCGCGTTGTGACCTGCAAGCGCTGCGCACGCTTCAAAGCCGCATCTTCGGTGCCGCGCCGCGCCGCACCGCGCCGCGCCGCGCATCGCGCAGCGAACGGTCAGCATGTGTCTGCATCGCGTCGAGTCCGCAGTGTGGCACCCGACAAGGTGCCCAGTGCTCGGTGCGTTAAGGTTATGAGATTAATACAAAGTCGGCGGCATGACGAGCTCCAGACGGCGCTTGCGGCCGTCCTTGGCGGCGGCAGCGGCGCGGCGGGCACGCTCGGTGACCGGCGAGGGGTATATGACGGTGCGCGGAGTCGATTCGCCGGACCGGGCATCGTCATCGTGGCTGTCGACCTTGTTGGCAGCCTTGAGAACCGAGATGAGGCGCTGAAGCTCGGCCGGATCGTGGTCGTCGTCGTCATCGTCGTCCATGGGCGTGTAGTCATCAAAGGCGAGGTCGAGGCCGTGCGGGAGCGTCGACCGCGGTTCGTCAACGGCGTCGTCGTCGGCATCGTCGTCACCGATGCCGTAGCCAAAGGCACGCGAGAGTCGGCGCTCCTGCCGGGCGTCATCGTCGTCCTCCATCGCTGAGAGCTCGTTCCACAGCTCGGTCTCGGGATCCGAGACCATCGAGCCGAGCGCGCCCGGCGTGAGGAGGGAGGCCATGGGCGTGACGTACGCATACTCGGCCGCCGAGTGATTGGCGCGGAGGATGGGGATGACGTCTTCGTCCGAGAGGTGCGGGCCGACCCAGTGGGTCGGCGCCTCCGAGTGGGTGTCCTCGCACTGTGCCGGCGGCAGGAGATCGTCGTACAGGTCGTCCGCCAGCGGGACGAGGCCGATGGGCCCCAGCGGGAGCTTAAAGTCGGGCCCAGACGTCTGCATGACTCGCAGGTAGCCGCGGAGGACGGCAGGCGGCGCGTCGAGGTGCAGCACAATCGAGTACGAGAACGACTCGCCGGCACAGAGCGTCGGCTGCTGGCCGGCAATGCCTACCGTTGACTTGCGGTGGTGAAGCCCGTTTGCCTCGCGCAAGTTGATCGTCTCATCGAGCACGGTGACTGGCCCGACGCCCGCCTCAGGATCGACCGAGACCTCGACTGAGCACACAAAGGTACCCGGGTGGTTCGACGGGGTATGCGCCGAACGCATGGCCACACACACTCCGTTGCGGACCTGCAGCAGCGAGGTGTTGGTCTTGAGCATCCGCAGCGCGCGGACGCGCTTTTCCAGGTACTTAGCCACCGCGAGGCCGAGCCCGTACGACGAGACGTACGACGCGAGCGGTGGATTGTGAAAGCCCGACCGCACAATGCCGCGCGCCACCTCGCGCGCTCCGTCGGCCGGCAGCACCCAGCGCGGCCGCTCAGCAAGCGCCAGTGCCTCGGCCTCGGCCTCGGCGTCCGCCACCTCCTCCAGCTGAGTGGCTTCACCGGCAATCGCGGCCGCCGTCCCGGACGGCGCCCACGCCTCGTATCGCGCCATCTCGCCTGGCGGCGCCTCGGCCTCGCGTGACTCGCCCATCGCCGCCAGCGACGACTGGAAGAGCGACTCGACCGCCTTGCGCTCAGCCACCCCTGCGTGCCGCAGACCAGAGGCATCGGCCTCAGTCTCGACGCCCTCGCTTGCAGCCTCTGCAGCGCTTTCAGGCCGTGGCGAGGCCTCTTGATCAGGCTCGGGCGCTCGTGGTGCGTCGGGCGGGCCTTCAAACTTGGCCAGGAACAGGGCAACCTCGTTGTCGACCGACCACGCCGAGCCGGTTCTCTTCAGTTGCAAGTTGAGCTGTCCGGTGAGGCGGATGAGCCTACGATAGAGCATGGTGGGCGAGAGGTTGTGATCATCGGGCACAACCTTCCCAGTCACCGCACATTCGTCACTGAGCGGCGAGACCTTGCCATTCGCCGCCAAAGTGTCACCGGCCGAGCCCGGACTCGATCCCTCGCCACTGGCCCACCTTCCATGGCCCTCGCCACCGTCCTCGGCCTCTTCCGGGCCACTGCTCCGGTTCCTGACCTGGTGCATACCACCACCCATGCCGCCGGGAGTCATGGCTTCCCCCATGCCCATGCCTGCTCCCACGCCTGGCCCCATCCCCATCCCCATCCCCAGCCCTGTCCCTTGCTCGCTCCGCCAGCCCGTGACGCGCCGCGAGCTCCTCCTCCCCGCCACCCATGGACGTAGCAACCCACGCACCCGTGCCGCTCCCGCAGACAAGCTTGTGCGCAGCATGCCTGGCGTGTCTGTGGTGGTGTGTGTATGCGTGTGTGGAGTCAAGTATGAGTGTGAGTGTGGACGTGGGTGGGGAGGTGTGGTCCGGACAGGGCTGACGCCTGTGCTGGGCTGGTCCCAGCCATGCTGACTCGGCTGGCTGCCATCGCACGCCGCGCGCGCTTCCCCGAGAACCGGCGTGATCGATGGGAGGAGTCGATGCGGCCGGCGGAACACGAGCATACGGCTTGTTTCATCGTGGGGCTGCGGTTGGCTACGCTACTGTGGGGGATGCGGGGCGGCGTCGCCCATCCGTGGAGAGCTTCGCTTCCGACGGGGTCCGGACTTGCTGGTAAACGAGCCGGCTCTCGCAACTGAGCCGTTGCTGGAGCGCTGGTTCTGGTGGTCTGACTTGTTCGAGCTTCCATCGCCGACCGAGCCGAGCGAGATGTCCGACCCGACCGAGGCGACCGAGCCGAGGCTCTGCTGCGACAAGTTGAGTCTGGTCCGATTCTGGTGCTTGTAGGCAACGTCGTCGGTGTTGGAGATGTTGACGATGGCGGCCAAGCTCGACTCGCCCGACGACTTGAGCCTACGCCGAGAGCTGGTTGACTCTTGCAGCGTCTTTGCAGACTGCGAGGTCGGCGGACCTCTGGCGCGGGTGGCCTGCTCCGGCGTCGGCGGCTGGACGCCAAGATCCGGCAAGAGCGGCGGCGAGGCGAGGCGCGGACCTGGCGGCGCGTTGGCTTGCGCGTCTGCGGACTCGGCTGAGACCACCGACGCCGAACCGAGGCTTGACGAGCTGGCCTCGAACTTGGCGACGGTGGCGAGCTCGACACCTGCGGCCTCGACGTCGCTCGAGGTCGGCGGCGGGAGATCGAGCCGACGGGTGGTGGCGCGGTGGAGGACCCGCGACTTGAGCGACTGCTCGCGGTTGAGCTTGGCGGCGCGGGTGATGCGGGCGATCATCCGATCGAGGACCTGGAGCTCGTGCGGCGTGGCGGTCTGCCGGTAAATAGCAAAGGTGGTCTGGACCTCTTGGACAAAGATTGGCACCTCCTCTTCGCGGCGGTGGTCGACAGTCCGCTCGTGGAGGTCTTCGAGAACAGTGGTGATGGCTTCGCGCTCGGGCTCGTCCACGTTGTCGACAAAGTCCATGAGCTCAAAGTAGGCTGGCTCGGTGAGAACAAACTCGGCGCGCTTGACCAGCCGCGGATGCTTGGCAGCAGCCTTGGCGTAGCGGCGCATGTAGTAAAAGCGGCGGGCGAGGAGCAAGAGGTACAGCACAATGGCGAGGACCGAAAGAACGAGGACGGCGACGCCGACCACGGTGAGGACGGTTGATGACGTGGACTCAAGATCCGACGCGAACATGATGCCCAGAAAGAGCACAAAGTAGCTGGTGCAAAGGAGAATAAACTCGAGCTTGTTGTCGTCAGGGCTCCGGTACGGCCGCGCAAACGACTGCGCCAGGACGGCAGCAAACATAACAAAGAGTGCAACAAGGTTCTGCAGGACAGTCATCTCCTGGAAGAAGAGCGTGCCAGCCACAATCGCCATTTTGCGGCCCATGACGACCAGCTCCCACATGTAAGCCCGCAGCAAGTAACGCGAGGTGAGAATGCCGAACCGCGCCACATGAAGCTCGTAAAGCCGCTCGTTGGCCGACGAGAACGCGGGCTTGAAGCTCTTGACGAGGACGGCCGCAAAGACGAGCGGAATGCCTGCGCAGTACAAGAGCGCCGCCAGAATAGTCCACGGCAGCAAGTCCCACCACTCGCCGACGTAGCATTTCATCGACGGGTGCGCGTTGAGAAAGTACGTGCCGTCGGTCTGTTTGGTGCAGGCAAAGACTTCTAGCGCCTTGTGGGCAACAAAGACGTAGGCAACGAGGACAAACATGACGTAGGCATGGATGGCCTGATTGTACATCGCTCCGCGCTGCGCCTTGGACACGTACAGCCAGCCGAGGCAGCTCGCGCAGACCGGCCGCCGGGCCGACTCTTCGTCTGCACCAAGCTCGGCGACGAGCGCAACCTGGATGCCGTCAGTTGACCCCGACCCGCCGTCGTCCTCCTGCTCTTCGGTTTCGGACTCGGACTCGGACTCGGCTGCCGTGAGGCGGGCGGGGTCGACTGCCTGGGCCACGATCCACGACAGAGCGGTGCGGACGACGACGTACGAACCAAAGACCAGGGCAATGGCTATCGGAATGAGCATGGTGGAGAACCACTTGATCTTGTACGAGATCGGAAGCGCGCACTCGGGCGAGGCCATGTCCATGTTGAGGTTCATGATGGAGAACCATTTGAGGATGGTGAGCATTTCGTCGGGCCAGTTCATCTTGTACGCCGCAAAGAGCGCGGTGGTCTGGATGAAATTGAGAGCGATCGAGGCAGCGCCCGACGAGCCCGACCGCGAACCCGACTTGGAGCGGCCGGCAAACTTGTACATGACAACAATGACGACGAAGAGGAGAAGAAAGGCAACAATGACCGGGATGATCGCGTTGTCCGGGCACGGCTCGCACCGGCCGGACAGCGGGTAGTACTGCGGAGCGCATTCGGAGCAGGCGTCGCCGGTGTATCCGGCAGCGCATGGGCTCGTCGCCCCCCTGGACACGCCTCGCTTGGCGAACAGGCGAGGACTCTTGTCGGATCCTGTGGGTCGCGCCAGTAGCCGGCCGTTGGGACCGGGAGCTCGTTCTCCAGAAACTTGCAGACAGCGCCAACCGGAGGACACGCAGTGCAGGGCGCGGCGGTGGCGTTGCCCCAGTATCCGTTGTCACACGTGCACTTGGCGAGCGAATTTCCGCCAGGAGTACCGACGATTGAGCCGGCAGGACATTTGGTGCATGCTGTTGAGCCCTCGGTGTCCGCGTACTCGTCCACCGCGCACTCGGTGCAAATCTTGGCGTTGACCGTTCCGTTGTCGGCGCGGAACTTGCCGCGCGGACAGAGAACGCACTTGCGATCAAAGTTTGCCGAGTCAAGGACCTGGCCCGGCGGACAGGTCTCGCACGAGGTGGCACCGGGCGCCGAGGTGTACGTGTCCGAGATGCACGGCACGCACTCGAGAGCGCCAAACGTGTCCGAGAAGTGGCCGAGTTCACAAGTGGCACACATGCCAAGGAGCTTGTAGCTGCCAGGCAGACAGTCGGTGAAGGTGTAGCTGACGTCGGTGAGGACAGACTGCCGCGCGGCGCCGACCGCCAACGAGACCGAGACGGTCGACGAGGCCGGGCCGGTTGGCAGGGTGCAAGTGAGCGTCTCGCTGCCGATCTTGCTCGCGGGCGGACCGTAGACACCGTCAAAGCCACACATCACATCGTGAAGCTCCCATCCCGGCAAGCTGGCGCGGAACTCGAGAGAATTGGCCACGTTAAAGACGCCTGTGGTGGCCACGTTGGCGGCGAGTACAGCTGTTGCATGCGGCTCGTACTTGACCAGCTCGCCGGTGGCGTAGCCGGGAGTCGCTGCCCTACTCGACGTGCCCGGAGAGGGGTCGCGCATGCCGCCGTAGCGGTAGAGCGCCCCTTGCGGTCCGCTCCCGGACACGTCGGGGGCGAGCCAGACAAACCTGGCACCCTTGGCGCTGCCGGTAGCACCGCCGGCGAGATTTGTGACCGAGAACCCACCTCCCGTCAACCGAATCTGGGTCACCGCCGAGCGGATGCTGGCAAAGACCTGGCCGGGCGAGATGAAAAGGTGGCGTCGGGCCGGACCGGCGAGAGGACACACAGCTGGCACGGCGGCAGCCCCGTGACAAGCTCGCGGGTATCCCACACCTCACGGAAAATGTCGTATGTGAGGATGAGCATGGTACCATCATACGGCGAGGTGGTGGCGGTGGCGAGGGCGAGGCGAGGCGCACCGTTGCTAAGGCCGATGCGGGAGGCCTCGATGGCGGTCCACAGCCGGGCGGCGGGCTGGATCGGGAAGAGGTGGGCCGGGCCCGCCGGGCTCGACCAGACTCGCGAGGCAATGTCCAAGACAAAGAACTGCTTCGGCAGCGAGTTAATGTCGCTGTTGGTGCCATGGATTGCGAGGCGCGACTCGACGCCACCGACGAGGAAAAGTTTGCCGTTGTCGGTGCAGACGGCGGTGGCGAGTGTGAGCGGTGGTGGGCGGGTGCCCGAGGTGGTGAGGTCAGACCAGGTGCCCGTGGCGAGATCAAGCCGGAGCAGGGTGTCAGAAACGTGCTCAGAGGTCTCGGTCACGGCTAGGCCGCCGTAGACGTACAGATGGGTCTTGGTCACGCACGATGCCGCGGCGACCGGCAGCGACGGCAGCGAGGCCGGCAGCGGCGAGGCTGGCAGCGACCGCCAGAAGCGTGTGTTGAGGTCGAACAAGCGCGGAATAGCGAGCGGAGCCATGGTCGCACTCGGGACACCGACAAAGGTGTGTTCGTCGAGAATGCGGGCGTGGGTCGGCAAGCCGCCGACAACCAGCAGCTCGTTCGAGGACGGCAGGTGGGCAAGGATGGCGTGGGAGCGCGGGCCGGGATTCCCAGGCGACAGGTCGGGCGAGACGACCGACCAGCGATTGGAGCGGTCGTACACGAGCTGGTCAAAGGTGGCGCTGTCGAGAACATACTCACCCTCGCTGGGCGCGTGGATCGTGCCGCCGAGTTCGTACACACTGCCGCCAGGTGCGTGGACAAGGATCGGGGAGATGCGAGCTTGCAGATTGACCGGCCGTGCCGGAAGGACGACCTGGCCGCGTGAGCCTGGCAGGAGAATCAAGTCGTTGCCGTGCGCAGTCGCAGAGAATGAGCTAGGGGCAGGCGTCGGTGAGGGGCGGCCCGAGCCCGGAGCAAACGGCTCCGGAAAGGAGGTGCCGAGTGGGGTGCCCGGGACAAAGAGCAGAGATCCGTCGTCGAGGGCGAGCATGGCAGACCATATGAAACGCTGCGGAGACGGCCAAGCATCGTAGCGCTCGGCCCGGAACTGGAGGCTACCGTCATCAGCGCGAAAGAAGGAGTGCTGGCAAGGTGCGGAGCGGGTGGACCCATATATGCCTTCCTCGGAGCCCGCTGCCGAGACGATGATGCCTGCGGCAAAGACCTGGCGAGCGGTCGGGGCCGAGTAAGCCCATGCAGCGGAGTATCCAACATCGCAGAAGCTGCCGTCGGCGGACTGCAGGCGGGACCAGGACGGCGGAGAGGCCGAGAGGTTGAAAAAGTACGAGCCCTTGTCAAAGGCAGAGACCGAGGCGACACCGTCGATGAGGAGCGAGTGCGAGAACGTCGACGAGACGAGGATGCCTCTTGCGGCAAAGACCGAGTCGGAAGCAAGGACGGCGTCAACGGCAGCAAGCCAAGCGCCCGGGATAGCCGCGTGTGCAGTGCCAGGTAGCTCCAGGCCGGGAGTTGAACATGCGGCTGGGACAACCGGCGACGGATGAGGCGTCGTCGACCACGCCGCCAGTGTGTTGTGTGGGTCGTAGCAGTTGGGAAAGGTGAGCGACCAAGTGGCTGAGGCGAGGTCAAAGGTCCATACGTCCGAGCTGTGACGGATGCGCTCGCCAGGAATGGAGCCATCCGCGGGAAGCGCGCCTCCAAAGAGGACAAGCTCGTTGTCGTCGGCAAAACAGACGAGGCTAGCGGCAGCACGGCAGCCTGGGCCGGTGGCGACGCCGTCGCCCATATAGGCGGTGAGGTCCTCCCACTCTTGGGTGGTGGTGTCGAACGACCAGAACTCGCAGATGACGGTGGCGGGGGAGATGCCATCAGCGACAATGATGGATGCAGCTTTCTGCGACGGCGGTGCGTAGTGGTAGACACGCGAGCCACACTGAGCAGTTGACACGGAAGCGGCAAAGTAGCTGCCGAGCGGCGTCTCGGTCGAATGTGGGAAGAACGGCGGTGGCGGCGGCGGCGGACGGGGGACAGCAGGTGTGCGGTCCCGTTGGGCTGGGTGTAGGTGCCGAATGGTGCGAGCTCTGGGCACGAGCCATACTCGTTCACCTCGTTGCCCCATAGCGTTGCCGGCGCGTAGACAAGCCGCGACTTGGCCGTGCCGGGAAAGTGCGGCGTGGCCGGGCAATTGAGAGCGTGGACGGCGTTGCCGGTGAGCGACATGCCGGCGCCCGACAAGCAGACGCCGGTGGAGAGGCACCACGAGCAGGCCGGGTCTGCAATGCACTCTGAGCACGAGCCGTGGTCGCAACGAGGTTGCTCGCAGTAGTCGCCACTGTAGGCGCCAATGGTCACCGAACCGTCTGTCGAACGCTCTTCCCAGCACGCGCACTCGCCGCCGCTGCCGTCGATGTAGCAGTACCCGTGGTCCTTGCAGTTCTGGTGGCAGTGCCACTCGCGGGTGGCGCGAACGTCGACGGACCAAGAGGTAAGCGCCGGTTGGGAGACAGGGACGACAGCGACGTAGTAGGTACCACGTTCGACGTTGTCGGTTGTGAAAAAGGTGTCTGTGACGCCGAGGGCGAGAGGCGCGGCGAGAGCATGTGGGTTGTACGAGCTGTCAAAAGCTGGCGGGGCCAACTTGCGAAAGTAAACGTTGACCGGGAGCGTGGCGTTCAGGGTGAGGGTGAACGAGGAGGTGAGGCCTGGGAAACGGAGAGCAAAGACGGCGATGTCCATGGCATCTGACCCATCGCGAAGCTCAACACCGTCTAGGGTGTGTGTGGCGCCAAAGTGGATGCCGTTGGCAAAATCGGGAATGACATACTTGGTCTCGTAGCTACCGTCATCGTAGGGGTAGCCAACATAGATGGGGGCGTCGCCGACCGAGCCGGGCGACGAGCTCGTGATGGGGTGGCGGGTGAGATCAATGTTGAAGGTGAAAGGTGACGAGCGATCAATGCAGACAGTGTAAAAGCCAGCGGGCGGGTTCTCGACAACGAGCTTGTCGGTACCGGGGTCGAGGGCGGAAAAGTAGCCATCGAAAGGCAGGCCAGACGTGTGTGAGCCGCCACCCGGGAAGGCACCGTAGACAGAGGTGGGGACGGCGAGTGCGTTATAGCGGACAAAGACGTTCGAGTGCATGGTGCCACCAAAGGTGGAGACGCCAATCTCGACTGCTGCGTGCGGCCCGTTGAGGTCAAAGTAGGCACAGGTTAAACTGGTCCCGAGAAAACTAGAGGAGGGCGAGCCACCGGCGTAGACTGCAGACTTGGGTACCGGAGTATTGCCATCTTCAAGCTTGACAAAGCCGTTGCCGCACGCCGTTGCAGTGCCAGACGACCCCATGCCGCGCGCGGAGAACGCCGGCTGGGTATAGTCGAGGGTGTAGCGGTTGAGGTCAGAGGCAAAGTGGCAGGAGACGATCTCGACGTCGATGTCAAAGCGGACACGGCCTGCGGCCCAAGAGTCAGATGGCGGATGGTGGGTGTAGAGATCGGGAACAAAGGCAGAGGAGCAGGCGTCATCTGCGGCCGGATCCGGGTTTGTGTCGAGGGTGATAAAGCCAAAGAGGACGCCGCCACGCGGAGCCGGGATGGTGAGCGACTCGGAAGCCCAAGAGCTAGACGAGTTTGTCATCTCAAAGTCGTTGGCGTAGTATGTTGCCGGCTCGTCCCATCTGAAGAGGGCGCGCCAGGGCAGATGCGTGATATTGGGGTTGGAGGCAAACTCGGGCTCCTGATTGATGGAGATGGTGAGGCCCTCTGCAGCAAAGGGGACTTCGACATGAAAGTAGTCGTAGATAACTCGAGAGCAGGAGAGGTAAATGGTGGAGGTATATGGGCCAGACGGCGGCGAGTCTGTGGGATCTGTGGCACGAATGCGATGTGGCGAGAGGAGCGGCGACGAGGCGTAGTCTGCAAAGGTGGAGAAGGTGTCCTCACCCGCGGCCTTGAATAGGTATTGAGACGGAGAAATCTGTGCCGAGGTGAGAAGGAACATCATGGCCATGATACCAGCAACAAGAAGGAAGGATGGCATATTGAGCGTGTGTGTGGTGGGGGGGGGGAGGGGGGGGGTGCGTTTGGGTGTGAGGTGGTGTCAATGTCGTGGTCGATGTTCGTTGGCGGGGGGGAACCGAGACGACGGAAATGGTAGGAATTGCCGGGAGGGGGGGGGGGGGGTGATGAGGGACGTGATCGGGGCAGAATGGGGCAAATGGGGACAGATCGGGGATGGTGGTGGTGTGTTTTGGTGTGTGATGATGTGTTTCCTTGTGTGTGATGGTGTGCTTGTCTTGTAGGTAGTGGCCGTGGTGGCGGGCGGGGAGGGAATGACGCGGCGTGTGGCATTGAGTCGATCCGGCTGAGGAGTGGGAGGTGATGGGTGCGAGGAGGAGGATGTCAAGCAGGGATTGAACCAGGTGGAGTGGAGACGGTGAGGAGGGTTGTGCGCTACTTGACTCTGTTGGTGGTACAGCTCGAGGTATGAGTGGGGCGCCGAGTACAGGACGGATTGCCGCGAGTCTTGTGGCTGCGGTGGGCTTCATGACTGGCGCCGGGTGGGTCATCATGTCGGCCACGTCGCCGACGACCAACGAGGTGCTAAAGGAGATGCAGAGCGGCGGAAGGGACGTCGATGTGGCGGGCATCCGTGCTCGCCATGAGACAAACAGAGTCTTGCTCGACTCACTGCTGGGCTCGGCTCGCGCCGCCAAGGAGGCCGAGATCGAGGCTCGCGCTGCTGCTGATGCCGGCCGCGAGTGAGAGCCAAGCTGAACTGCAATGGCCCGAACGGCAGGACGATGGGGCATTGCCTGTGGGCGATGTCCCAGGTGGACCCACCGATCGATCATTGCACACGTACGTGACCTGTCCAAGGCCTCCGGGGAAACATGGACTCGCATCGTAGTACCTGATCCCCATCTCTGCACCCTGATCCCTCTTCCAGCATCCCCATCCCATGCCCAGTCGTAAACCGTGTTCAGACCAAGCCGTCAGGTCAGGCCAAAGGCCATCAGGGCAAATGCCGTCAGGGCAAAGGCCGTCAGGGCAAAGGCCGTCAGGGCAAGAACCATCAGGGCAAAGGCCGTCAGGGCAAGAACCATCAGGGTAAAGGTCATCAAGCCATCAAGCCATCAAGCCATCAAGCCATCAAGCCATCAGGCCATCAGGCCATCAGGCCATCAGGCCAAGCGAAAAGCCCCGGCCAACCAACCAACTGCACCGCCACTCCAACGAATAGCGGCGACCACCACCGTCCCCCCCTCCCTCCCCCCCACCGTCAACAGGACCACCTCTCTAACGAGACCCCCCCTCCTCCCCCCCTCCCCCCCCCTCCTCCCCCTCCCCTCCTCCTCTCCCTGACGACATGTCGTCACTGACCAACGGGGTGCTCCCCGAGGGGGCGAGTCCGTCTGTCCTCGAGACCTGGGTCCGGAGTGTCCTCTCAAAGTACCCCATTCCCACCGCTGACGAGCTTATGGAGCTCTGGGCAGACAGGGCACCTCTGGTCTCACTCTTTCTCCATTCGCATGGTCTCTGGGCATGTACTCTCCTCAATGCCTTGGATCCGTCCGTATGCTGCTCAGACTCGGACTCGGACGAGTCGGACGATGATGACAACTCTTCCTCGCTGCCCGCTGCCATGGCAACAGCAAGTGGAGCAGCGACGGCCATGCCTCGGACAGAGGCCTCTACTGGTGCAACGTCATTGTCATCCAGTGGCGCGGTGGATGGGAGCTCGAGCTCGCGACTGGTTCGTTCGCCAGAGCTGTTGCGGAATATGGCGCGGTTTGCAGAGGGTGTGACGCTCATCGGTGTGGCCGAGGCCGAGGCCTTTACCCTCGACGATCTGGAGGAGAACAATCTCAAGGCCGTGCTCACCACGGTGTATGTGCTCAAAACTCTGGTGGCATACACGGCGCAGCTGTCGGGATCGGACGACGACGTTGGCATGGCGGCAGCGCCGTCGGCCACCGCCTTACCGGGCTCGGCCACAGCAAGAGTCATCAAGCAGCACAAGACACTGTCGTCGTCGCTGCGCAACTCGGCTTTTCTAGCCACGCCAGTCCGTGAGTCTGGCGATATGACGGCGTCGGACGAGCTTGACTTGTCAAAGTCGTCTGGCGGCGGCGAGGGAGGAGCCGGCGGTTCAGGCGGCGGCTTCGGCGGCTCTGGAGGCGGCATCGACGAGTCGGGCGGAAGCGCCGGGACGGTTGGCGGCCGGGCCGGCGCGGCGGCGGCGGCGGCGGCGGCAGCGGCGGCATCGTCGGGCTCGGTCTACCGCAAGCCGATGACGCTCGAGGAGCGCCGGCGGGCTCGCGACGCGCAGGAGGAAGAGCTTGTGGAAGAGGGCTTCATGACCAAGCGCGGCGGGAGCCGGCGCAAGTGGCAGAAGCGATTTTTTGTGCTCACCACCAAAAAGCTGACGTATGCGGCGAACCGCAACAAGCCGCTCAAGGGCACCATCGACGCCAACGACATGATTGCGGTCCACGACGAGCACGATCCAGCCGAGATCAAGAAGCGCAAGAACTGCTTTTGCCTCGTCACCTCGCACCGGCGGTACTACATGTCGTGCTCGTCCGAGGCGTACAAAGAGGTGTGGATGAACTCGCTGCGGTCGGTCATCAACTTTACGCCGACGTCTGCCTCGGGCGTGCTTGACGGCGGCGACGGCGGCGAGGCCAGCGGCGGCGGGCGCGGCGCAGCGCGGTCGCTGACCGAGAGCGGGCGAGCCAGTGGAGCGACGATCAACATCCTGCCGGAGACCCAGCTGCGGGCCGGGTTCCTCACCAAAAAGGGCGGCGGGTCGAGTAACTGGGCCAAGCGATGGTTTGTGCTCACCAACTGGAAGCTGACGTACGCGGCCAAGCCGGACAAGCCAGTCAAGGGCACAATTCAGGTCGCCAACATCAAGTCTGTGGGGATGGCCAACCCGGACACGTGCTCCAAGTCGCATGCGCTGGAGATTGTGACGCCAACGCGTACCTTTGAGGCCTTTGCCGGCTCGGAGATGGAGCGCAACGAGTGGATCGAGGACATTCAGAGCACAGTGCTGGCGCGGTCGCAGCACGCGCTACTCTCTAGCTCGCGCATGCTGCTCCGGGTAGTGGTCAACTACGCGTGCCAGCCGATGGCGGCGCTGCTCTCGGTGGCGCTCGACACGCCCATGACCTCGATCAAGCATGCTATCTTTGCCTGCCTCGGCCTCGACTCGAGCCTGCTCATCCACTACACGCTCCTTGATGACCACCTGGTCCCGATTGAGCACTCGGCGTACAACCTTGCTGCGACATCGCTGTTTGACGGCAAGACGCTCTACCTGCGGCCCAAGCCAGACGTGTCGATCAAGTTTGCGCCGGCGCACACTGGGCCTGTACCTGGCGCACCGACACCGGGCGCCGGGAGCCTCTCGGTGCTCGGCGGCGAGATGTCGCCGTCAGGCGTCCACTCGAAACGGACGTCGCGCTCGAGCTCAATGTCACTGGAACGCGCCGCGGTGCTCTCGGCGCTCTCGGTTGGGCTCCACAACCAGGGTACCGGCATGGGCCTTCCGTACACTGCGCCCGAGGTTCGTCTCTCGCCGCTGGCAGTGGCGGAGACGTGCCGGGCCGGGCGGCTGTCAACATGCTCGTACTCGGCGATTGCAAGCGTCGACGAGTACTGGAGCGCATTGCGCGGCGCGGCGGGCAACGAGTCGGGAGCGGACGGAGACGAGGCGGCGAGCAGCGAGACGCAGCCAGTGGTTGTCGGCGGTGCGTTTGACGACCTGACTTGGACCGCCGAACTCCGGGTTGAGGCCAAAGTGCGAAGCGTGCCAGGCGTCGGCTCACTGGCCCCGGCGCACACGATCGTAACTCAGGGCTATCTGACCAAGCGGGCTGGAACTGGCCCGATTTCGTCGCGCGGCAAGGGCTGGCAGCGGCGGTGGTTTGTGCTTACACACAAGTGTCTGTTGTACTCCAAGGCACCGGATGGGGCAGTCAAGGGTGTCATCGACCTCGACCGCATCGCATCTGTTGTCTCGTACGTGGCGGCACCGGCCGAGGTTGCCGAGCACTGCTTTGCGATTGTGTGCCCGGCACGGACGTACTACGTGGCATGCACGACCGAGGAGGACATGACCCAGTGGGTGGCGGCGCTCAACGCAATGCTTTCGGGCGACGACGCGGCGGCTGCAGCTGCCAACCCCGAGGTGCTACTGGAGGGCCCGCTCCGTAAGCGCGGCGAGGGCGAGGGCTCGTCGCTCAACTCGAGGTGGTGCACGCTCACCGAGTCGCAGCTCTCATACGCAACGCGAAAGGGAAACCCGGCACGCGGCAAGATCTCTGTCTCGCACATCATGGCGGTCGACCTCGCCGACGGCGACGACGACCTCGGGTTCAACATTGTCACACCCGAGCGAACGTACTACTTTTTCGCGTCTAACGCACTCGACCACGGCAAGTGGGTTTCGACGTTGCGGGCATCAGTGACGGTGCCAGAGTTTCCGGCCGATCCGTTCTCGTGCTGGCTCATCTGGCGTCGGGCGTACGAGGCGTCGGACCTCGCCACCTTTTGCGCGTACAAGGAGACCGAGGGCACTTCGTACATCGGCGGGTATCCGTTTACGGTCGCCCGCGAGCGCGGCGTGCCCTCGCTCGCCGACCTCATCACTCCTCCGGTCTCGCAGTACGTCTCCTCCGACGTTCTTGCCACACTCACGTTTAACGATAAGCGGACAAAGATCGGCGACGAGTACCTCTCCGGCAAAGTCCATCTCCGCCGCCGTGAGGGCGCGACGGGCTGGCTCGTGGCGTCGGAGGACTGGTCTCACGTGCTCTCGTTTCTCCGGCAGATGGCATAGCTGTGGAGCTTATCACAGCCAGGCAGCGTTACCTGCGGCGAGCGACTAAAGTTGAAGGAGCTCGTCGAGGTCGTCGACGCCTAGGTCTTCAAAGGCGGCGTGGATGTCGAGGACGCCGCTCATCGATGAGATCGAGGTGATGGTGGCCGGCATCATGAGCGGGCGGGTCCGCTCGGCTGGGCGCGGCGGGCCAGCGGCAGAGGAAGACGCAGCGGCGTCGGGGGCGTGGGCAGTTGTGGGAGCATGTGTGGCGGGCGGTGGCGAGGAGGCGACACCGCCGGGTCCGATGACACCGCCGGGTCCGACCTGGGCATCGATGCCCAGGGCGGATGAGGGAGGCGACGCCGGGCTGGTGCCTGTGGCGGCGTAGTTGATTGGAATGGCGGAGACGGCGGTGGCGAGCGGTGGCGGGGCGTGGACCGAGACGCGGTCGGCGTTGCGGCGGCGTCGCTCGGCGTCGCTGAGCGGGCCGGAGCCCGTGGCCGAGGCGGCCGATGAGCTTGACGAGGCGGCCGAGAGCGGGGCCGGCGCCGGAGTGAGCGGCGAGCGGAGGTTGGCAGAGCCGGGCGTGGCGTGCGGGGTGGCCTTTTCGATGGCGCCGGACCACTTAAAGTGGTCGGCCTGGGAGGCAGCAGCAAGTACAATTTCGATGAGGCCCGAGATGCGGAGGGCGATGGGGTGGTCACGGACGCCAGCAAGCTCCTCGGGTTCGGGATCGACGCGGACGAGTTGCGAGAGGCGGATCTGCAGGAGCGGCGACTTGCCAGCCTTGACGTCTTTGTTCGACTTGTAGACCTGGAGCCAGGGCGAGGCGACGACAACCCAGCGGTCTTTCCAGTACTTTTTCTTGTTAAACTTGAGCGACGAGTCGTGGAAGACCTCGAGCTCGCCGCAGTAGTCGGGCGAGTCGATGGCGGCTTCAGACGGCGAGCGGTCAAGGCCGATGCCGGTGTCCTTGACCTTGCCGCGGTCGTCGTAGTCGACAAAGCACGGCGGCGAGATCGAGTCCGGCCCGCGGCACTCGGGGGTGACGTGGATAAAGTCCTCGATGTCTGTGAGGACGTTGACCCGTGAGACAGCGTCGACCACGTGGTTGGCGGCCTTGGTCCCGACCGAGAGCAGGCCGACGTTCATCGAGCCGTACATGGCTGCGAGGTCCTTGAGGACCTGGCGGCGGGAGACGGCCTCGGCCTGCTCGGCGTCCATGAAAGAGCCGAGCGAGGACTGAACCTCCTCGTGGCACTCTTCGCAGGCGGCGAGGGCGCGCTTGTAAGCGGACTTGGCCTTGGCCACCTTTGAGTCGAAGCGATCGCGGCGGGCCTCGGGGTGATCGATGGCAATGTACTCGCAGAGCTGGTAGTAGTCATCGCGGGCCGACTCGACGTCCTTGCCGGCCTTGGAGTAGGCAGCAAAGGCAGAGCGGACAGCCTTGTCGCCCTTGCGCTTCTTCTGGAACATGTCGGCCTTGGAGATGTCGGACGAGGTGACCTCGAGCATCTCCCCGAGCTTGCGATGACGGACGGCCTGCGAGGCGACAAAGGCGAGCATGTGCTTGTAGGCGGCGCCGAGGCCAGACGTCTTGAGAGAGAGCGGCATCTCCAACGATGCACTCTGTGCGATGGTCTTGAGCGTCTTGGCGTAGCTCGTCTCGGCCGCGCGGAGCTTCTTGAACAGCAGCGTGAGCTTGCCGGCAAACTCGACGTCGAGCTCACGGCGCTCAATAAGCGTCTCCACCCCATCGGGCGACCAGTAGACGTCGCGGAACGGAGTAACGCCATCCGTAGCCCTCGCCTCAATAGCAGCAGCAGCCATGGCCGATGAGGAAGTGCGGTGGTGGCGCGAGCGGGAGAGCGCCAGGTTCCGGTGAAAGTGAACAGGAGAATACCGAATACCGGTGGAGGGGGAAGGAAGGAGGGCATGATTGTGTGAACGGATGGACGATGTTGGAGCGAACGGATGGACGATGTTGGTGAGAATGGATGGACGATGTTGGTACGAATGGATGGACGATGTTGGTACGATGGATGGACGATGTTGGTGCGAGCGGATGGACGATGTTGGTGCGAACGGGTGGACGATGTTGGTACGAACGATTGAATGAACGGACGAATGAACGATTGTGCGAACGATTGAATGAACGATTGTGCGAACGATTGAATGAACGATTGTGCGAACGATTGCATGAACGATTGTGCGAACGATTAAATGAACGATTGTGCGAACGATTAAATGAACGATTGTGCGAACGATTGCATGAACGATTGTGCGAACGATTGAATGAACGATTGTGCGAACGATTAAATGAACGATTGTGCGAACGATTAAATGAACGATTGTGCGAATCTCTCCCCGGCGCCGATGGCATCAACGGATACGACCGGGAAGGAGGCGATGAACGTGACACAGCAAAAGGTACCCGGTACCCCGTTTGCAGTCGTCTCCACAGCCCATGCCCATACCACAGCCGCAGCTGCTGGTGGCGGCTCGCCGAACCGCGCCAAACGGGCAACGGCTCCTCCGTCCGCGGCCCACACACAGAGCAAGCCAGGCCAACCACCACACACGTCCGACCGCAGCTCCCGCCGCAGACGCAAGCGCAGAGACCAGCGCTCGACAAATAGCGGACCTGGAGCCGGGGCCTCCTCTCACTCCCAAATGGGCTCGCCCTTGCCCACGGCTGGCGCGGCGGCTACCGTCCTCGCCTCGCTGGAGCACCCGGGCAAGCTCGCCCACCCGACGCCGGCACCAGGGCTGCATCCGGATCCGGTTGAGGGAGGAAGAGCCGCGGCTGGCGGAGATGGCCCGCGGGTTCGGGTCGATGAGAACAGCGCGCCGGCGGATGCCAACGCGAGTGCAAGCGACGGGAGCCAGGCCGGTGCTGGAGCAGAGACCGGAGCTGGGGATCGTGCTGGAGAGGCAGATGGGCAGGCGACATCCGCAGCAGAAGAGGCGCGAAAGCTCAAGAGCTCAATCCGGGCAGCAAGAAAGGCGGGGGCGCAACGCCTGGAAAGGCGCAGCAGGCGGCAATGCGTAATGGAGTGAGCACCGGCGCGGCGGATGCGGGCGCAGGCACGGCGGATGCTCCGCCGAGTGACCATGGTCCGCCGAGCCTCCTCTCGCAGGCGGAGCGAGCCTCTCTCGGCTCGCTGCCCGGCACGCCGCCACCGGTCTCGGAGAGCGTTCACGCCGGTGACGGCGGCGGGCTCGACAATCTGAGCGAGAGCGGAATGAGCGAGGGCAAAGGCGGCGAAGCGGTCCGAGTTTGCGAAACGTTTACGGTGCGAGTCGATCGGGCAGATGTGCTGGTGCCAGACGTGCGGATGACACATCCGCTGGTGCAGGTGCATGTGATCGGGGAGGAGAGTGGAAGCCGGCTGCCGCGCGGCACCGACTCGGCACCGGTCAACGCGCCGCCCGTCTCGTCAAGCCTCGATGCCATTGAGCCGCTGCTGACCAAGCCGTGCAACTTTCGGGCGCGTGGCGTGTTCGAGCCAGTGTGGGAGGAGAGCCTCGAGTTTGGCGTCCCGTGGGCCAACGTGGTCAAGCCGGGCGTGTTGCTCCTTTTCGAGCTGCTTGACTATGGCGGACTCAATGAGGCCGTCCAGGCGAGCAAGTCCAACAAGGAGGCCGACGGGTGGTTCCGCATCGCATGGGGCTTTCTCAAGGTTGCGCCGACGCCGGATCGCAGCTACTCTAGGCGGCCGCTGCGGCTGCAGTTGTACAAGTACCCGAAGAGCTTTGTGAGCAAGTATGTGCAGCCTGCGGCGGCGGAGCGGAGCGCCGATTCAGCGCCACCGCTGTACAGCTACTATCTGGCGTCGTGCAAGCCGCGACGGGTGCTGCGTGGGGCCGCAAGCAGTACCCATCGACGCTGTACGTCTCGTTGGTTCCGGCCCTGACGCCGATGATCTCGAGGTCGGCGGCGCTGTCAGGCCTGGGCTCGATGTCGGGCCTCGATCGCGCAGCGGGCGAGGACCTGCTTCTCGGCGTCCACGGCTCAGACGAGGGCGGATCACGGACACTTACTGGCGAGCTCGACGAGCTGGCGTCGGTGACACGGCACTGGCCGCGGCTGCCGGGGCAAAAGTGCAAGGTGCCCAACAAGTTCACCGGGGCGCTCGACTGCGGCGACGATGGCGCGTTTGTGGTCAAGTGGGCGCCGTCGGGCGAGTACCTGGCCGCGGCGATGGGCAATGACGGTCACTTTCCGCTCCGCATCTACTCGTACGAGCGGAAGCACGTTGTCGATCTTGTGGGTCACGCCAAGCTAGTGTACGAGCTGGCATGGTCCCCGGCGTCCGAGCCGGGGACTGGCGCCTCGCTCTTGCTCTCGGCGTCGGCCGATGGAACGGCCAAGCTTTGGCGGGTCGGCGGGAGCGGCAGCAGTGCACCCGGCCTGCTGGTCAACTATCAGCACACAGCGTTTGTGTACACGGCGCAGTTCCATCCGACAGCGGTGGCACCGCCAGTGGTAGCCACGGGCGCGTTTGACTGGATTGTGCGGCTGTTCAACCAGACGAACGGCGAGTTGCTCCGCGAGATTGCTGGGCACACGTCGACGGTCAACTCGATTGTGTTCTCACGCGACGGCTCGCACATGTTTTCAGGCGACGGTGCCGGGCTCGTGCGGGTGTGGACGACGCGGGTGACCAAATCGGGCGCACCTGCGCTGGCCGATGTGGCGCGGCTCAAGACGCTCGACATGAAGGAGCTGGCCGACATGCCGGCCGGGTGCGCGGTCAACGTCCTGCGGATGCATCCGACGCAGAACCGGCTGCTTATCCATGGGCGGGCCAACACCATTGTAGAGATTGATCTCCGGTGGTACAAGGTGCTCTACAAGCAAGAGGGCTTCCTCAACGAGGAGTTTGAGATCAAGTCGGACTTTTCGCCGTGCGGCAACTTTGTGGTCTCGGGCTCGGAGGACGGCTCGGTCTATGTGTGGGACGTGCTGCAGGGCGGGCGGATCCGGCAGGTCTTTGCCCGGCTCCCGTTTGATGCGCCGGTGTACTCGCTCGACTGGCATCCGTTTGCGCACGTCCTTGCCTTTGCCTCGTACGGTGGCGCACAGCCATTGCTGCTGTTTGGCTATGACGCCGCGGCACTGCCTGGGGCGGCCGAGCTTGGGGCATCGGCGGCTGAGGCTGCCGAGGCCGCGCGGCAGAACGAGGTCATTACTTCAGAGCTCGACGCGCAAAAGTCAGAGATTCAGCGGCTGATCCGGACCCGCGAGGAGCTCAAGGCCGAGCAGGTTGGGCGCATTTTGCAGGGTATCATGGACGAGATTGCGCTTGCACGCCAGCGCAACGACATGCCCAAGCTCGACGCGAGGCGGCGGAGGCGACTCAAGTCGGCGCGCAAGAAGCAGGCGATTGCCGATGCCCGCGCTCACCGCAAGGGCCGCAAGCTGCGGTTCGAGGATGAGGCAGTGTCGGGCGAGGACTCGAGCGATGCCTACGACGAGTCTGGCGAGTATGAGACCGAGTCGTCGACCAAGTCTGCGACCGGCCGCGAGTCCGGCCTCGACGCCAAGCTCGCTGCCGAGCTGGCTGCCGCGCGGACGGCCGAGGAGAGGGTCCTTGCGCGCAAGTTCTACAACAAGACCAAGGACGCCGTCGCCGACCGCAAGCTCGATGCCATCAACTCGCGGCTTCGGGCCATGGCGGCGCGCGACAACGACGACGTGCTCCACGCCGCCAACGTTTCGGTCTCGGAGCTCTCAGCCGCAGCAACCAAGGGCGATGCAGCCCGCAGCGCCGGGCTGGCGGACGTCGTGGCTCGTGCGACGAGCGAGGGCTCCGGGGCACCAGCCGTCGCACTCACGCCGTCGACACCGTCGAGCTCGACAGCAGATTTGACGCAGTCGGCACGCCGGCGTCGGCGGCGACCTCCGGGCGCGACTGCATCGTCGGGCTCGTCG